TGCTCCTCCCAGTTTTGGAACAGGAGGGTATAGGGATTAGTGGTATAGCCGTATAGGCTATAGGAGCATAATGTTAAGTTCAGTCTTACTTTAATTTTCATATACATCAACAATACCAGGAAAGACAGAAAGATACTATCTATTCTTGAAATGTAACTCTGGCAATGGCAATTTGTAAACCAAATCATTTAAATCTATTACAGACATATCACTTTTTTTTTCTAACTAATTCAAAGTCAGTATATTGTTCTTCATCAGAAGCTTCAAAGTATTGTACTTTTATTTCAGTTTCAGTAACTACTTTAAAAACTGTGACAAAAAATGTATAACAATTCTTTTTTAACTACAAGCTTAAATTTTACTAGTCATTAGTATAGGTACATAACAGAGGCGTACTTCAACATTTTGATTACCAATTACGTTTCTCGAGAACCCATTATCCAAAATAAATATTTTTGGAGGTCAATTTGATCTCTGCAGTATTTCATAATAGAAACAGTTTTCAATTTTTCAAAATTTAGAAAATTGAAGATTTTTGGTTTTCGAAAATAGTTTAGCCAAAAACATGTTTCAAAACATTGAATTTCGTTTTTATAAAATAGAATCTCGTTATTTAATTTTTTGTTAAACGATCGTTAACTATAGGGAGTACCATATTATGATATACATTCAGGATTTAGCTGGTTTGGGATAATTAAATACCATGATATTTAAAAATCAAAATCAAGGGTGCCAGTTCGGGGCCACTGACTTTTCTTAGGGCGGCAGGCTCCCTGAGGCTCCCCCCCTTTGATGACGTGCCTGTAGATAAGCTATGTACCTATGTACGTCATATATCTATTATGTTTTGGGAATTAATTGTATATTCCTTATGTAGGTATGTTCAGCATTACTAAATTGCTTGATCCATCATTAATCTGAAATAAGTTTTAAAATTACGTTAAGCAGTTGATTATAATGTTTCATGTTTACTTAGTTAAATAGTCGTCCGTATCAACTAGATGAAGTATGGTCAAATATTACAGAAACATACAATATTCATCAGACATCTGGTGTTAAAACAGTTGATGAAATCAAGCAAATTTTTGAAAATTTGAACAAAACAGCAAAAAAAGAAAATAAAAATGATAAAGTATTACTTAATTTGGTTTGTAATATTAAAATAAAATAATAATTATGGTGTTTAATAAATGCAGGTTGAAAGATATAAAACTGGGGGTGGAAAGTACTCAACAACTATGTCAGGTGTCAGTGAACAGGTTTTGGGAATTATAGGTGACCGAATAGAATCCCTTGTGAATCCACACGACGATGATTTTAGCTATACAGGTTGAATATTGGCTATTATTTGAATTTACATTGACTAAATTGAAAATATAACTTTTGTTAAACAATTAATTCTAGAACTAATAGAAAACCATACAGACAATTTCAAAAATATCCAGGATGACAATGATAATATGGATAATGTAGAAGTTGTTACTTTCGACAATGAAGAAATGGATGAGTTTAATGTTTCTTTAGAAGACTTAACATATGCTGGTACTCAACAAATCAACTGGGGTAAGCAATCACATAATAGTTATAGGTAACATAAACATAGATTTTAGATATGTCTATGTTCATTTATAAATTATCCTTTAGGTAAGATTTCATCAAACGAAAAATGCGAAACAGTAACATCAAATGCAAGTATTATGCAAAAATCAAAACCATCCAACACAATTATTCCAGATCAAACTTCTAGTACCTCATCAGCAAAAAAAAATAGTAAAAATGTAACTGTTCCTAAAGGACAATATCATTCAACACAAAAAACCGTTTGTGAAGGGTTACAAGAGTTAACAAAAAAAAGAACGAATAAAGTGGAAGCTAAAAATGAGTTTTTGTCAGAGTTCCAAGATATAAAAATGAAAAAAGCAAAATTAGAACTTCAAGCGGCTGAAATAACAATTCAAATACTAAATACCGAACTTGCAACTAAACAAATGGAAATGAATTCAAAAAAAAAACAATTACAACTACAAGAAGACATTTTGCATTTAGAAAAAGAAACATTTGCAAATAACTAATTATTTTGTAGTAGGTACATATTTTGAACATGCATTATACAGCTATGTTAAGAAATGTAATAATGTAATAATATGTCTTTCAAGAATTAACAATTTTAAACAGGGAGTTTATTATGTGTATTAATTATTATTATTATTATTTTATATATTTTATAAAATTACCATCTCTAGTGGGAAAATAAAGACTGGTATGTCCAATTACTTATTTGGATTAATTTTATATTTTTTAATTTTGTTATATTTCAAAGTTTAGAAATAGTTTTTGTGTTATATTGTCTTTAAATATACAAAGATGTTTATTGTTATTACAAGAAAATATTGTAATTCAGTTATTATTTAATAAAAAAAAAAAAAAATACATAAATATTGTACATTTGTAAGTCGTAGACAATACATGTGACGTCCTCTTAATATTCTTTTTATTCATGAAAACACAGTGTCAATCAAAGTTCTGCGTTTTATGTTCCCAGTTTGGGGAACAAGAGAGACAGGAACTTGTTCACGCAAATCATCAATTGAGAGAGTTTCGTCTACAGGTAGAGGATCATTTGATTTGATAAGCATATTATGCAATACTGCTGTAGCTATAATAGTTACAAGAGTAGTTGGGATTTGAGTTCGAATTCCAACAGATAGCACAGGAAACCGCCTTTTCCAAACACCAAATGTTCTTTCGATGACATTTCTTGTGCCGATTTGTGCTTTCTAAAAATATGATAACATATAATATGATATATATATATACATATGATAACATTTTATTGCCAGTCTTGTTAAGAATACTTTTCAAATATATTCAGAATAGTTATTTAAATACTTGGTGTACTTTGTGTTTAAAATACTTATTCAAATACTTTCTTTTAAAACCTAATTTATAAATTCTCAGAAGTTAGAACCATTTTAAAATCATATTTTAGAAACAAAATTTAAATAGTACATTCCGAAATATTGGTAATTAGGATTTGGAGTAGACTAGAAAGAAAAAAGTATTTAGCATAGTAAAAATAGAAATAAAAAGTATTTTATGAAATTATAATATGGTTTTCTTACTTGATATTGTACTTCTGCTTCAGTAGTAGGGTTGGAAAGAGGTGTCATCATATAATTACGACATGCATAACCTCCATCTCCCACAAGTACAGCACCTCCAAATTCATTATTCTCCAATTGAGCTCTTAATAAAGAATTATCAAATATTGTTGAATCATGGACTGAACCAGGCCATCTAATAATGTTTGTATATCAATAATAATTAATAAATGACAAGTTTTTTTGCATTAAATTATCACTAACCGAGCCACAATATTTGTGAACTGTAAATTACTGTTGCATACGGCTTGGACATTAATAGAAAAATAGCCTTTCCTGTTGCGGAATCTTTCTCCAATATTTTTATTGGGAGATTGGATTCTGATATGTGTACAATCTATCGCTCCAATAACTTTAGGAAATTGGCGCATTTTATAGAAATTTTCATAGACTATTTTTCTATCTGCTTCTGTTTTTGGCATTTGAATGTATTTTGGTTTAAGTGACGCTATACATGTAGACACTTTTTTTATGATACGACACACTGTTGATTTGTGGATTCGTATATGGTCTCCCAGAACTGCCTAAAATTTGACATATATATTTTTATGTATACAATAGTTAAAAATGCTTCATCGGGGGCATACATAAAAATCTAAAATATTCACCTGAAAAGCACCAGTTGCATAATATCTAAGTGTAATCAGAAGCTGCAATATTGGTGACAATGACATATTGCGTTGTGTATTTTGATATAAATGATCTTGAACCATGTCCAGTAATTCAATCAACATTGTTTTAGACAACCTGATAAACATTACTCGAGTATGAAGTTCATGAAAATAGAGACATTTATTTGTGTTTACCCATTTTTACAGTCTTGTAGAGTATTCAAATAAAACTATCTGAACACCTTAATTCTAAATTATTCAAATACAAAATAAAAGCATTCTGTACAAGACTGTATTTTTAGATCAAATGGAGGGCATTACCATCTATTATATTGGAAAATAATAAAAACAAATATTTTATAAGTACCTAAATCGCTGCTTAAAATCTATATCATCATATTCTGTAAATGGATTGGATCTATCACGAAAAAAACGTGGTCTCGGTAACACACGAAGCACCTCAATAACAAAATCATCATCACTCGTTGAATCAGAATCAGATGAAGACATATTTTATGAGTGTTATAGTAAAAAGTAAAAGAACAATATATTTTTTGAATGTGTATTTTATTAATAATAATATATTATAATAAAAAAAAATGTGGCTGATAAGAAATTTTAATATTTCTTATCACCATGACCATATTTAACGGATCGTTAAAAGTTAACGAACCAAAATCGGACCTGTAGTTTACAGGTCCAATAGCCGATAATTTACAGACCCGTTAACGTTAACAGTCGTTCAAGCAACACCCAATTTTTTTTAACGGATCGTTAGTGCGTTAACGGCTCTGTAAATCGCTAATGAACGTTTATGCAACCCACCCTTTAAAATATATCCTAATTGTTTAATCGTGACTATTATAACCATATCACATCACACGACTCAATATTTAGTCCATGGCATTTCTAAGAACTCACTAGATTGGCAATCTGGCAACACTGCAATCGTTCAAGAGATAAAAAAATATTGAAAATGATAAAATGATATAATTTTCGTGCAATTTTTTTACACATTTTAAAAAGTAAATAATGGTTTATTTTTGTTTAAAGTTACCTAAATCGTACTAATGTGTAGTTTTTCATACTTTCCTGCTACCAAAATTAATTTCATTGATGACGTGTTGTAGCAAAATAGTTTGTAAGTGTATTTTCCGTTACTAATTTTCTAGTGTTTGATTGGTTTTTTTTGTTTGTTCACAGTTTTACAGAATTCAACTCTTAGATAATGGCAAGTGTCAGGGACAGCGACATATCTTTATGGCTGCACAACAAATTGGGTACGACCAGCGACACATGGATAAGTGGCTCCATATGTACACAATTGACGTCCGATGTGTTGCGTAATATAAAAGATTGCTTCCCCGATTTACAAACTCAAGTAAAACTGAAACTGTTACTATCATTTTTTCATATTCCAAGAAGAAATATTGCAGAAGTAATGATTAATTTACACAGTGTAGTATGTGATTTTTTTAATAAATGTTTGTTTTAATTATAGTGGAGAACAGAACTAGAAGAAATCTTAGAAGTCGCTTGCGTAGATAGTGAACAGTGGGTATCTATGTTAGCCGAAATGATGAAAACATTCCCATCGACCGGTAGCCTCAATGTAACAGAATTTTTTCATAATGAAGACAATAACAGAATATTCAATGATTTAATTACAGATTTAAAAAAATTAGGTATGCGTTTATACAGTTCATTTTAATTCTAATTTAATACCAAGTTATCATTGTGCATTTTATGTTTCTTAGTACGAAAAAATATGGATTACACAATGTTGCCTTTAGAATGTCTTTATTTGAACAAAAATGCTCTAATTAATGTTGTGGGCCAACCGGTAAGTTATAACAAAAACAAATTATTAATTCATTTTTTTTTTCATGCTAATATTTAATATTTTAATCTATTAAATAACATTATTATTAGGATAATTATTAATTTCCAGTGCTATTAATATGGTTACACAATTTATTATCTAATTCCAATGAGCCACAGATGTTAATTAACACGTTTGCTGCATATTATATTTGAGAATATTAAATTGTCATGATACTAAAAAAATTTAAAATTTAAAATTCAATGACTTTCTTGTATTTATGAAATAATACTTAAAAGAGATGCTAACCAAAAATGAAAAATTTAATCGTAACTCTGACCAAATTGTGCATTTAATAGCAAGGTATTATAGACGCCAATTGTCGTCATTCAGCATATGCGAATGGTGTTAAATGATGCCATCTGGCTTCATCCGTAGTGAACTGTTGAGAGCAATTACTACATTATTTTAGATTATTTAGTGAGATGCTAATAAACCTATAATTAATGTTCAAAAACCCGTTGCACCTGGTCCCTATTTTTTTTATATATATTATGGGTGGTAGATAATAACAGCAAAGAATCGTGATTTAAATGCATACCATTGCATCAAACAATCGATGGCACTATCGTATAAATTGTAGTAAATATCTAATCTATAAGTTTTTACTCTTTACAACTGCGTTTAATTTTTTTTTATATACCTCTCAAAATATTTTTCTTCAATAAATTACTTGCTAATATTAATTTTGCTTATATTTCTAAATAAAATTAAGTTTTTGAGTATTTTAAATCTTTTGTATTGTTTGTAGCCTACTGCAATAAAGCATTTTAACTTAAAAAGAAAACCCAAAGCAGCGGCTATTAAAGCTGAACTTTTACAAAAAGCTGGTGATGCAGCTAATCATATTAAGAAGCATGCAGCTCCCACTGTTCCAGTACGATCGAGAGGCATGCCTCGTAAAATGACTGATACAAGTAATTTTTATATTAGTCAATAGTTTATTACTATTATTTTTACAAATAATATTATGTTTCAGCTCCTTTAAAAGGCATACCAAGCCGCTCAATACCTAGTGGTGGATTCCGTTCTAATCCTGTAAATAGCACTATGGCTACTCCTGCAAGACCGGGAGTGCGTAAAGACTGTGGTATTAAAATATTAGAAATAACTGAGCAACCTATAGGTTATGCTCAAGCTAAAAAGCGTAAGAAGGCTGGTAAGTCAATTCTGTTAATTTTAATTTTATTGAAAATGATTAATAATTTATTGCTCCTTCAGAAATGGAAGAAAACAAACGTCTTTTGGAAGCTAATAATGTATCAACTTCTGGAACAACTTGTCAGCCAATTACAAAAACTGAAGTTACATCCACAACACCAGACTATGCTGCTGGCTTAGCTCCTCTAAACCCACCCACTCCAGCACCATCTACACCTCAACACGTACCTAGTTATATAGCGCCTGCTACGCCTATACCAGCAGAACCTCTAAATGAGCCTGCAAGTATGTATAACCTTGTAATAACTTAGGTTGTTACACCTCTTTTTTTTACAGTATTTGAAAGTATTTTTTCTGTCTTATGATATGAATGAGTTTGGAAATTTTAAGCCCACCAGATCAACAAAATACTCTTTCTTTTTTATTTGATTAATATTCTGTCAGTTATAAAAATTACTAATCTATCTAATTAAACTACCTACATAAGTCAATAATATCAACCTATATATTTTTTTGCTATTTTTCTTTGTTAGTTATTGATTTGTAAATTAAGCTAATAGTATTTTTATAGATTATTGCGAGTTTTTATAAATTAATACTTTTTAATTCAATTTTTAGGTGTTTCAAGCGCTACTCAACCAGAAGCTGAATCTCCACCTGCTGCTCCGGCTGCTTCAAAAGTCATTCATGTAAGCAGTAGACATTTTTACTTATACTTTTGTATACATTTGCAATTTATTAGCAAAATTATAACCTTGTACATTATTAGTTTTTGAGCAAAGCAAGTAATTTTATTTTAAAACATTTGTATTTTTTTTTACACATAATTTCAGCCACCAATGGTGCAAATGCAAGTGCGCTCACAGACTGCCCAAGTTGGGGTATCTACAACAACTACTTCAAATACCGCTGCTCCAACACAGCTTTCTCTAACGGTATACACAACTTTTTTGACAAAATCATAATAATATCATTTTGTCTATTTGAATAACATTTTTATGATTTTTTGTACAGAGGAGTCAAATGGAAGAAGCACAGGACATGTTTAGAAATGCTAATAAAGTAACTCGTCCAGAAAAAGCATTAATATTAGGATTCATGGCAGGGAGTCGAGGTAAATAATATTAAATTTAAAAACAAATATGTTGAACACGCTTTTTTAATGAATTATTTGTTAATTTAGACAACCCGTGTCCTCAATTGGGCAGCCTAGTAACCGTTAAATTGAGCGAAGATCATGAGACTGTATTGCAAAATGACCACACCTTAGTAAACATGCTAGTTGAAACACACTTCCAAATGAATTATAATACAGGAGAATGGAAAAGAATAAAGAAATATATCGAGCTGGACAGAACAAGTATGCCAGTAGCCAGTAGTCAACTGGCTGCATTAGCAGCTGCCGCCACTGCATTACAAAATCAATCTTGACCTCGCAAATTGTGTCGACCGCTCCAAATTGACTTGGTTGTTTTTTAGCTGCTTATTGTTAATTAATTTAAAAAAAATACCAAATTTTTCCATCGTACAAAAAAGACATTTGTTTGTATCAAACAGTAAGTTTACATAATGTTTATTGAATGTGATGACATTTTTTTTTTTTTTTTTTACATAACAATCCTAAAATCTACAAACGAATAAATACATTACAAGACTAATGAACGTTATAAATAAATATTCCCTAATTTTTCAACCCTTATTGTATAACTTTCCAACAACATATTGCTCTTTGGTTGTCTGGGGCTTCTCCAAATATCTTGTTACCATCAGGTGTTACATAACTATTAATCTGGCAATCATGAAGTATTTTATATCCAAATACGTTAGCTCCAAGTTGCTAAAAAAAATAATACACATACCATAAGAAATAAACAATTTTAAAATGTATTTTATCCAATTTAATAAATGTATATCCTTCCAATCTTACTTGTGTTAAGGGATTAGTGTTTGTTGTAAATATGCCTTCAAATCCATTGGTTTTACCCAACTTTAAGACTTCTTGTTCCATGTAAGTTATGACTTCGACATTAGTTGCTGCGTCTAGTGAATTGTCCGTGCCCATCATAAAACTATGCAATATGCTGCCTTTAGATTTGGGCAGATGATCTCTCCTGTACAACAATAATAATATTACTAACTGAAATATAATAAATTATAACTTATCCAATGAATACCTAATGGGACCTTCAAGGGATTCGAGGAACTCAAAAATGACTGTCAAACGGCCATTGAACTCTATGTCAGGTTCGTCTAGAGCGTCAAAATTTAATGCCGCACCCATTAATCGATCAGACTCCTTGGATTGCACTACAAAACTATACAAGTACAGATAATTTCCATTATTATGTGATTAAAACATATAATTTTGATCGGTTATAATTTATGAATATTACCAAAACTCATTTACCTCAAATTTTTTTCTAACATTGGCTCCCACAGCAACTCAAGGATATCGGTGTACTCGCTGTAAGGCACCTTTGGCACAATCCAGTGTTCGAGATCTGCTTTTTCGTAGAAACTGTCTGCAATTATCCTGTGAAAGACGAGACACACATATTAAGTTACCTATACGTACAACCTTTACCGAACTTAGACTTATAAATTAGTCCATGATATATGTACAAGAAATATTGTAAAAACTAATAAGTATAACACATTACTTCATTACTCATTACATATTATCTAAATTCGTACTTGATCATGTCGTCTTTGTGTTTGGGTTCGAGCATTTGCCTGGTGTATTTCTCGGAGAGCCATTCTTCATCCTTACAGCATGCCTTTCGTTTACTACTAAATCTCATTTTGTTAATGACTATACCAAAATTAGGCGCTGTTATAAAATCACTGACAGCTAAAAAAAATAAACTATCATTAATTATGTAGGTAAATATTATATTTCCATTGTCTGGATTGCCTTAGGTACATTCCTTATATATTTTTTTCTTTGTTTCTGTCGTGCCTACTCTCATAATATACATATTTTAATAGTATAATACTAATAGTTTAACAATCGAGTTTCGATGCTATTTGTTTAAGCTTTTAGTCAAAAGAAAAAGGAGAAAATATATTATAAATTACCATGCCATATTGATAATAGAAACTTTTAAAACTTTAATTTAATTTTGATACGTAGGTAGGTATTTGAAATTAACACGATAGATATGCATAAAAAGGAACTGATTAAGTTTAAAGTTAATAATAACGAACCCGAAGAGTGGGATATGCAAGTAACTTGATTTTAAGTTTTAAATTTTTATTCTAAATAACTCTTAAATAACCACAGCTGTATCAGATTTTCTAAAGTTTCTACGGACATAAATAGGTATGTCGTATGCCCTTTAAACTCTTGATTAGTTGACTACATTATAAACTAGCTTCAAACAAACTTCCGGGGAACCCACGCAGACTTCTCAAATGGCACTGGTACTGTGACTGTCGACTGAACATTTAAATAATAGGTTTGTTCCAATTTTGAATTGGACAGAACTATCGCCGGGAGAATACGCAGTAGTGTTTCTACACACCAGAATCGAAAACTGAAACTGCGTCAACAAGTTGTAGCAACACGTCATTAAACCAGCTTTGGGATGGGTTTCACTATCAAAACTATTCGGATGGAGACTTGCAGTCAGAGACACTATAATATTAATATAGTAGTAATGTATAGTAATGTCTGTTATGCTCAGTCTATTGTTCCAAAACTAGTTCCAACAGAGTTCGGTCGAGTATGGACTCATGGGATCCGTCTACGGTATCGCAAGTGCAGTAGAAAATCAATCATGAATTACATAGTCTTCGACTAGTCCCGATTCCGTGTTGGAATAAACTTAATTTAAAGCCATAAGGTACCTATTTCAAATTCTCGATTGTGTGACTTTCTTTCAAGTGTTTGTTTTTCAGTTCCTACTTATAAATAAATTACTTATTGAACGTTGCTTGTACAGATTGTAATTTTTCAGTAGTTAAGATTATTTTCAAAGAAATAGAATATTTAAAACCATGTATCTAATACCTATTATTTGATTAAATCAATGAACATTGTTAACCGACTGAGTGATGTGCTCACCTATAGAGTATCCTAGGTCAGCCAGTTTACTTATGGTGTAAATAGCGTTCAACGAATTGCCACCTAGTGCGAAAAAGTTTGCCGCCGGCGAGATGTGTGACCGCAGCGAGCTTCCTAGCACGCAGGATACAGTCTCGAACAGATGTTTAGCAGTTTCCATTTGGCTTGCATCGATGTCAGTAAAGTCAATTTTCGATTCCTTTATATTGTCCAAAACTGCACATTCAAAACATCTTGTAAATTAACGAATAGTATATCACAATAATTATAAATATGTAGGTATACACTAATAGGTACACTATTATATAGGTCTACAGTGACGTACTGACGTATTTATTGATTTATGAGTTTATGTGTTTGGCGGGTGTCTGGGTGTACCTACAGACTTTATTGTCCCCTGCGGCAAAAGTTTTTCAATTTCCCAGTTATTAATATGTTTTTTTTTTAAATTTAGGTATGTAATTTTTTCGTTACCCTTTTGAAAGGCTTATAAGACATGAGTTACCTACCCCGGCAAACGCCACTGCAGTTTATTCATAATAATTAAACCCAACAGTCGTCTTACACTCTTACCAGATATTTCAGAGTATTGGCGTAATAAGGTCTGTCTGTCAATTTTTCCATTCACGAGATACGGCATCGATTCGAGTGAAATCACCTAAAGCAACAACGTGTAAGTATAACACACAATAACGAACAAGAATTAATAGTTCGAGGGTGCATTCTAAATCGCGAGCGTCAACAAACTTTTCCACAATGCGTACCTGTGGCATAGCGTATTCCGGCAGTGCGTTTTTTAGTCGATCCTCTACGTCCGTGGCCGTCATTCTGACATTACTATCGAACACGACGAACGCCAACAAAGCCTATAAAGAGGTACATATAGTAAATAATATTATTAACTTCTCATCATAATTTTAGAACTTTAGAACCCTGAACACCTAGCTCTTTATATACTGTAGTACAAATAATATTATAATACTAAATTAATTCAAGCCAAATAAATTACGAATATTATACATAGGTAAGTATATACTCGCTATGTATACAGCTCGAAGAACAGATAGTTTCGTTCATTCGTTGTAAGTTTTTTTATTTTATCTTGATTAATGATTAAAAATAAAATAAAATTTTAGGTGAAACCTATAGTTCGCTCACAAAGCAAACATTTAGAAAGTCCTTCGAAACTTTTTTGAGACAAGATATCATATATGATTGAAAAATGAAAAATGCATGTAATTTTATTCAATAGTATAGTAAAAAATTGTTGTTTGTAGTAGTGGAAAACGCAAACACATTTTTATTCTTAAGGTGCCCTAGTATAAATTAGTAATTATAATATTATTATTTATTAGTTTCTAGCTGATCCCGCGCACTTTGTTGCCCGTAAAATATTATAACTAAAAAAAAAATGTGATTGTTCAACTTCTTTTGGGTGTAACTCAGCCTTCCTTGTAGGCATTGTGTGAACATTTTATTTGACGCATGCTTGCTCCTGATCTGCCCTATTAACCAATGGACACCAATTAATAAATACTAATTGCTATTAATTATTTCTCCTATAAGGCTATAGCCTAGCAACTAATATAACCAATAACAATTCATTATAAAAAAAATTTCCACCGTAAATCTCAAAATACCCGTTTTAGCACCTCCCCGGGTTGGACCTAGGAGGGTGAAAAATATTTTACGACCTATTCTCATACAGTCATACCTACTAAATATTATACAAAAAAAATTTAATTAAAACCAGTCGAGCTGTTTCAGAGGAGTACGACCACAAACACGGTGACACGAGATTTTTTTATATTAGAAAGATTACCTAGTTTATTACATATTATTATTACTAATACCTACAGTAATACCACACATGTGCATATAAACTTGGGTACTATGAACATTTTATTAAATGTTTCATTCGTGTAATTCACTTAATTTTACTATTTGCTTTTATTTAAAATTAATTTCTATTATAAATATTTCAGATTAAAATTCCTCAAATTCTTTTAGATGCATCCTGATTTTTATTTAGATCAAATTAAATAAAAATTTTAGGAGATCAACTTACTATAGCCCAATATTCATATATAGGCATTGATTAAATATATATATATTTAATCAATGATATAGGTAATATACCTGTTCTGTTTCGCCAGGTTTGTAGCACAACACGGCCAATTTGTCGATTCCCGCGTCTTGCAGCTGACGAATGGCCGTTTCGACTTCAGTCAAATCGACTCGGTGTCCTCTGACTTTGATTTGTGAATCGGTTCTGCCTTCATACAACAGCACACCATTTACTACTTTCCCGTAATCTCCAGTCCGATACATACGGTCCATGCCCATGCCTAAGTCATGCGGATATAACGTTTTTCTGTTACGACGACGTGTTTGAGCAATAATAGGTAGGTAAATATAATATTATAATATTATATCCTCTATATTATAATAATATAATATGTATAGTTAACGTTTTAAGATTTGTTTGGTTATTCAGGATAGATAGATACAATTTATAAAATTACCCGTCATGGTGGTATTACCTTGGTCGTGAGGTAGACGGTTTTCTACGAACCGGTGCGGGTCACGGTTGTTGACATAACCGCTGGCTAAGTTCGCTCCTGCCACGTACAACTCACCCAAACAGCCAGGTTCCACTGTTTGGCCTTTATCGTTCAACAGATATAGAGCCGTATTGTCCACTGGAACGCCTTTAATACGATACAAATTATAGTTGAAAAAAGTATGTTATTACAAATTATTTTAATGACTATATAGTGAGAGATGTTGGAATGATATTTATCCACCAAAACAACCATTTTTGTAATAGGTAGGTACCTACATAATATTTTTTAAAATCATCATTCAGCAGAGCCATTGACCGTGCAATTGTTACACTTTTAAGGCTACCAAAAACTTTGAATTTACTTTTTTGTGTTGTTTAAAATGTTATGATCGCCTGTATAATGTTAAGTATTCATAAGTTAACTGTTAAGTTAAATATAAGTGACAAGTCTAATATTTTAGATTTTGAGCCGACCGATGAATGTATAATGTATTTATGTATTGATTTTACAATGATGTGTGTTTTTTTTAATTATTTTTTTTTTATTTGTGTCTGTCATCAGTCTTTATTAGGACAGTAAAAATACTTGGATTTTCTCCAACAGCATCTTTTCTGATAGGAAAGTGAATCTAGTTAATACCTTGTGGGGGTCAAAAGTAAAATTTTTCTGTTGTTTTCAAAAGCACTGAGAAAAAAAAATTCTGGAAAACCGAGTATTTTCCGCAAAATTGAATTCGACAAAACTCTAAAACAAATCACCGTAGTTGCATGAAATTTTCACTGAATGTGTTTATATTACCATTTTATATACACCATAGTCCATAACATTTTCAAGATATTTTGACTTGTTTTGAGCTGTTTACGAACATTTTCAGCCACCAATTTTTTAGTTTTTTTAAAAATGTATAAAAGATTTTACTTTTATAGTTAAGGATTGAATATGTAAAACAAAGTTCCACGTAGTTATGTTATTCTGTAACCAACAAATCTAAAAACACTCCTGATTTTTATATTTTATAGTTATTTTATTTTAAAATTTGGACGAAATCAGATATTTAAACGAAGAAGAATGATTTTAGTTTTGTGTTATATTTAAAAAATATTTTTCGCGGCCCTCGGGTACTTGAAATTTCCAAAGTATATTATTATATACAAATATGATAATAAACAAATATTAATAATTTAACTCAACCGGTTAGGTACTGTATTAATAATAACAATGTAATTATAATATAAAATATCCTAGGCTGACACACTTTCTCCGCTCAGAATCGTTTTTCGTATACAATAATATTATTTCGTTGACTTAAAATATAACATCACCCATTACAGTCACACACTTGTAACCTACTGTAAAGTAGGGTGACAACCACTTACCCTCTATTTTATTACCTATAACCTATAGGTAGTTAATTTAATAGGCACGGGCTTAGTAAAATATACATACAGTAATAGGCATGAATGTTGGAGGATAAATACGGTGAGACTTGGACCACATCATTGTTAAGCATAATATATTTAATATAAATGTAATATTTGCATAATGAGTAGTGACTTACCAATAGGAATTTTGTCACCGAAACACAAGTCTTTGAACGACTTGATGGCGTAGTACGACACGTCTGCCATGATTTCCGTGCTCCCATAAAAGTTGCACAGCGTGTGACCAGAAAATGTGTCTAGAAACTGTTTGGCTAATGACACTGGTAGAGGTTCTCCACTACACACCCACAACTTCAAACTCGATAGAATTCCCTGTTCATTGTTCTTAAACGAAAATATGTATGTCTTAATGAATGAAGTTATAGTTTGTACTTTTGTATTAAACAAAATTAATAGACGTATATATATAGTGACTAGTGACAAATTATAGATCATAATATCATATTATAGGATAAAAAATAGTTTTGTGATCTATTCAAATTATAGTTGAAATTAAATCTACTGCAGTTGTATAGTACTTACTTGATTTATCATAGAAGATTGTTGTTCGTTGTTATTGGAAATGCCCATGTATAACAATATGGCATGTAATAGCGATGGGACCAATACTAGACGTTCAATCTAAACACCAAATTGTTTTTATAATTTGAATAAATATCTAGGTATTATTAGAAAAATTAATTAGGTAATGAAGGAGAGCTGTGTTTGAAAAACAATATGAATATAAATCAGTGTTAAAAAAAATAATTCCATGTAAAGTAAAAACTATGGACCATGTGTTCGATGTCCATGCATTATTGTTTATTTTATTGTGTTATTATTATTATGGATACACGATAAAATTACTTGCGATCAACATCAAGGACGTACTCAGAACAAATTTCCGGGGCGGGGGTCTGGATATCATAATAGGCGATAATTTATTATTAATTACTTACTTAATTAAGTAGGCCCTAATTTTTAAATTATGTTAAAATTCTAAGTTGAAGTGATCCGAGAAAATTTCGGGGGTGGAACTCTCAACCCCCCTTCACAGGTACGGCTTTGATATCCATATTATAATATACCTTCCTATCAAAATAAGATAATAAATAAATACCTATCCTTTATAGGTATGTGGAGTACGTCTCATTGTAATTATCAAAACCCATTGTGAATCAGTGTATCATATTACTATATTAGTATTCGATATTATGTATGGTAAAATCGATCGTGATTCGTGAATCATGATAATTGTAAATTTTAATCATCAGTAGAGCGTGATTTATGATTCGTTTATATCTAGCTCAATTTATTATCGGCTACCTATACGTTTACATTTTTCACTATAATATACACAATGTGCTTTACCTTGTTGTCATGAAGTATATTGATCAACCGTTCTGGGTCTTTGGTGATGGCCTTGGGTATTACCATCAGGCATCTTGGTGTGTCATGTAACAACGGAGCCCAAATTTCTGCCACTGAATCCACAAATGTCAACGAAGTCTTGAATACGCAAGTGTGTTCGGTATCGCTGTAAGGGAACCGGTTCCATTGCCAGTTCAATCTGTTGAAAATTACGCAATGCGGAAGTCTCACACCTGTAATATTAATTATTATGCATTTCATGTTGATTTTTTTTCCGTTGTTTAAATCATTTAATATAGAGACATATATATATTCGTATAAAACTAGTTGGGTTGGATTTTTAAACACGATAGGTATAGGTATATATGCCGGACAATGCTCTTAAAAACTTTGAATTAATTTCAACCATAAATTACGATACCTTCCAGATACCATATATCTAACCTTAAGCTGAGTATAATTTACACATTGAATTCATTTTAATGTTGGTTTGTGTTTGATATATATAATATAAAAGATGATTCACCAAGCATGCTCATTGTTCACCCATTTTTTTTATTGAATAACTGAATTTTGGAATTTTTAGGTATGATACCTTGTACCACAATAGGACACACCCACTTCTTAAATGGTAAAAAAATCTAAGGATTCTAAAAATCGGAATTTAAAAAAAAAATGCATTATTAAATTATAACAGGAGGGTTCTCTTGTCATTATTTAAGAATCACTCTGGATAAATACGTTTAATCCACTCCATTCACAAAATAATTGTTTTTATATTAAAAGTAAAAATACTTAATTTTGATAAAACAATATGATTTTTTTGTGTACTTATGGTTACTGAACGTTACAACATTTACAAGTATCGATATAACTTTAAAGCAATAATATCAGAAGGATAATTTAAATAAACTTAGTATTAAATATATTTTTTTGTTTGATACAGTCTTTTACATTGATTTTAGAACAATAAGTGAATCAAGATTGGAAAATTGGAGTACTGGAGGCACTTATTTTATGACTAAATTATTGAGTGTGATACTTTTAAGTCAACGGTTGGTCAATATATACTAAAAAGTAAAAAAAGTAAAAAAATTGCCTAGGTATTTCGAATGTTAAATAAAAAAATACAACTATTTCTTCCAGGGTCTAATGTATATTTTTTTATTAATACAGTATTATATTTAATTTTCCAATTTTATTGGAAAATGCATACATTGCGCTTGAAATTATTTAAATTAATTCAATAATATATGAATAGATATAATAAAACAGCTTTTAACGATCAATAATCATTAATCATTTAAACATTATTAGAAAATCATAATAATCTTGGGTGTGTACCGTTGACATATCTTGTGTAAAGTTTCTAGGTAATCATTATATTAAATGCATCTAATTAAATCAAGTTTAGTATAACATGTAAGGTACATGTTTTAAAAATATTAATAAACGATATACTTACTTATCTTATTAAAAAATTACTTTTGTAGGAAATAAAATAAGTAATTATTATTTGTTCAACGAAAATATTATTTTGTTTGGAAACCAGTTTGATTTATTGATATATATATATATATATTACTAATATTAATATTCATAACAGTTTATGTTACTGAGCAGTTATAAACATGGATAAGCAGAAAGAAAAGAAAAATTATATTATATACACTATTATAAAACTCAAAATAATGGTTAAAGTATCCTTGAAGTTCATAAATCTTACATGATGAAACGAATAATAATAATTTCAATAGCCGTAGAGAATGTTGATGTCGAATATTAGAGTGTAATATTATAATATTATATATCTAATACATTGGCGCAACTAGGGGGGGTGCTTTGGGTCCTTAGCACCCCCCAAGTCAAAATTAGCACCCCCTAAAAAATAGTTTAAAAATTTGAAAAAAAAGTTAAAAATTTATCGAATTACAATAATTATAAGTTATAACACAATAATAATTTTTATAATATAACATTTTGTTATTTATAATGTTGAATTATCGGATGTGTTGATTTTAATTGTGTGTGATGAAGCAAGGTAATACACTATTACCACAGATTATATTTTTTCCTATTACTTAGAAATAAGTTAGTAGGTAATATATTTTAATATAATTTTATTTTCATAATTTTTTTTCTATTAGATCTTATAAAACAGAACAATTATCAATATGTGTTAGATACATTATTCCTAATAGCTATAATGTATGTGAACGATTTATTGGATTTTATGATGTATCAAATGGGAGAGGAGCCGAACATATTTCTATTGAAATTCTCTCTGTTCTAAAAAAATTTGGCATTTCTGATATTCCTCTTGTGGCACAAACATACGATGGTGCAAATGTTATGTCAGGATCCACATCTGGTGTTCAAACTAGAATAAGAGACTCTCACCCTGAAGCAATTTTCATTCATTGTATGGCCCATAAATTGAATTTGGTTGTAACAAATACTTGTAGAACTATTAAGGTGCATAACAAATAATAATAAATACTTAAATAATATTTAATACATTTTTATGTACGTTACAATTTATAATATATGTACCCATTATTTTTTATAATCAATTTAATCATTATCTTTTACAGGAATCTAATACCTTTTTTAATACTCTAGAAGCAGTTTATGTGCATTTTTCACAGCCTGGCAAAGATAAGCTATTACAAGATTTACAGAAATCCATGCAAATAAAATCATTATCGATTTCTAGATTATGTGAAACGCGGTGGTCGTGTCGTCTTAAAAATTGTAAAGCAGTACATAATAGTTTTGGTGTAATAGTAAATATTTTACAAAATGAAATAAATGAAGATACAAACAAAGAAGTGGCTCAAGCAATTGGTAATAATTTAATATATTACTTTGTATTTTATATTAATATAAGTATACTATGTAGACTATAATAACTTGAGTATAATATAACTATAAGACATTTTGTTCAAAGGTCTTCTGCACATGTTAAAAAAAATGTCATTCGTATTATATTTGTTCATTTTTGAAGAAATCTTTTTCAGCCATGCGTCGTATCAAAAACTGGACTAGAACATCTATGACACAAGATCGTTTTGGTTATCTTTCTGTATTGCACATCGAGAGAGATATTGTTAATAATCTAGACCTCAATATTATACTAGACGAATACTCAAAGAAAGACCGTCGTATAGATTTAATATTATAGTAAAAAATGTAAATAAAATATATTATAATATATCATGTAGAAAAATAATAACATATAAATTGATATAATATATTAATATTAATAAAAAAATTAAAAATTAAATCAAAAAAAATAATTTTAAGTGACTTTTTGTTCTGGGTCCACATCAAGTATGACTTTTTTTTTGTTTCTGTTTTTAAAAACAATTTGTACTGTCCTGTGTAGACACAGAACTATGGTTTTTGTTTTGTTTTAGTGGTTAATATAGGCAAATAGTGGAGTTGGGTCCCATCGAGTCACAAAAAAACCTGGAGCTTAAGCACCCCCTACTTCAAATGTCTAGTTGCGCCAATGATCTAATACCTATACAATACATTTTGTTCTACTGCGATTAGATTATTTACAAGTATATAGTTTGCCTATTCAAGACGCCGTCCGATAAATTATGTTGACAGAATACCTATAAGCCATGTCAGAAAATGTATAAAAATCATTCTACATTATAATATTAATCTTAAGTTAATAAATCTATATTTATAATTAATAAGCATTTATAGTTAATATACGATATTGTTTTAAATAAATTATAATTTTAATCAATTTAAATTCAAATTTCTTTTTACAATATTTACGACCTTGGTGAATGTAAATAAATAAATAAATATCTACTAGTGTTTAACATAATTTAATTTATTTAGTGTTTATTGGCCATAGTATTCAAAAAAAAAAAAAAAATGTTTAAGTATTAAGTTATAATAATGATTGTATTAAATACTAACCCATTCAAAATTGATAATTATTCACATCATAATATATCCAACTATGTTATTATAACAAGTATTATATATTTTTCTTTATAAATTGCATCATGCTAAAATTAATAAGCATAGAATATTTTAGTAATGTAATAGTATGATTTATAATAAATTAGAGTAAAATTATTTATTTTTTTTGAAAAGTGGATACACCTAACTTCCTTTGGGCAATAATGCTCAGACAACTGGTTTACATTTTGTAAAAATCGTATTTACGAGTAAAATGTATATGTATTTTTCTTAATATTGTAGGCGTGTAAAGATCAACGAGTCTTTTTAGACTACCGAAGAATTAAAAAATGAATTGTACTGAAAGATTTTTTTAAAATAACACATTAAACATTTTGCAAGTTGATGACCTTGTAGTGTCGAAATTCGTTTGGAAGGCGGCCCTTAACCAATTGGAAGTCTTATTACCTTTAGGCGTTCCTGTGCTGCCGCTTGTGTAAATTATTGTTGCTGGTCTTCTACCATCAACATAGCCCACTAGTGTTTCACGGTCCTCTAGGTTGGATGCGGAAAGGGCAACAGACTGGCTCTTCAATTGTTTAAGGCTGTATACGATGTTCGACTTGTTGTCATACACTTCGGCTATATAATAAAATATAGTTAAAAAACAAGTCAATAAACTTATAGAATATGAGTGAGAAAATAATGCCGGAAATTCATGACCAAAGTGATGTCCTTAATAAATGTGTAATATATAAGTATAAGATAAAAATAAAAACAAATATTTTCTGCTAACCGAATTCATCAAAACGATAATATACTGATGTAAATAAAACAGTAAACACAAATATAAACAACAGCGCATGACGTATAACGATTTAATTTATTTGATGACCATACAATTTATTGTGATAAGTCAAAATCATAAATAAAAATTGATTTACAAATAAATTTTAAATTCAATTCTATTCTCGTCGAATTATGGTTCATTATACATGTGTGTAATGGTCACGTAAATAATCCATGTGTATTAATTACCTTCGGGTGTGCAGGTGATCACTAAACATGGCTTGGCCTCGTCGATTACGTGTTGAATCCGGTGTTGCGGTGCTGATACGTCTAATGGCAAATACGCTGCACCAGCTTTCCAAGTAGCCAATAGAGTGGCAATTAGTCCGTCACCAGGAGGAAGCTGAACGGCTACTACGAAGTCTCCGTCGTCGTTTTTAGAGCCAGCACGTGCGATTATTCCTCTGGCCAATTGATTAGATATGGCATTCAGTTCCGTGAAGTTAAGGCGCACAGAAGGTTGTCCAAGTTCTGAAGACAAAAGCTCATAAGGTTAGGACGTACAGCACGATAACGAGTTTTAGTTGAAATATTAAAATAATAAAAACGAAAATGTAGAATCACGATGTTCAACATTAGTATTATAACAATATGTGTAGCTATGGTGAACTCATAGGCGTAGCGTGATGAATTTATTTTGGGGCGAGGGGGTGGGCTCTATAGCCTATAATAGTATAATGTTTCGGGTACATAACATGTATTCAAAAAAATTAAGGGGAGCTATTAGCCCCCTTATGCCTGTGGACTGAAGTATTATAACTATTTACGATTTTAATACAACAATATACTATCGTCGATCTCGTTGAATAACCAATAAAAATTCTGACCAGAATCGGCATATAAATATCAGAACAATTCACTAATTTCTTTAAACGCAACACCAATACATATTATCATTTATTATGCTTATATATTTTTTGGGACGATAACCCCTTCAATTGTATGGTAAACTATCCCGATGGTAACTCTCAATATAATGTTTAGTTACTTGAATAAAAGAAAATAACTTGCAAAATTTTAAATATTGACTCTAAATGTTTATAAAAAAAATCTTGCCTATGTATTTGTATTATTTTTAAACTATTATTGTAACAATGTGTGAGGATGTTTTGACCTAACGAATAAAATGTTATTGATATTTATGGAAAAAAATAGTAATAACTTTTTAAAAAATATTATTTTTAGATTTTCCTGACATGAGTAAATTTCTTAAATTATTTATTATCTATATAATTTTCACAATTTTTGTCATACGTTTAAATAACATACATTTTATTCTTTTGTCAGATCTTTCTGATACACTTTGTATATTATATTTTATACTAGCTGATCCCGTGCACTTCGTTACCCGTTAAATGGACCAAATCTATATTACTCAAACTTTTTTCTATTTGTTATTTAATATTCAGTGTATGGTGTTCAAAATTTATCTTAACTCTTCTGTTGCCTGGGATAAAAATTCTGATTCGCCGTAGTATATTACCTATCATGTAGGAAGATACGCGGTAGATCGCGGACCCCGTGCAGTTATTGTATGTAACTTTATAATTTAACTCTAAAATGTCAAAGTTATACCAAGTATGTCACTGAACTCCTCCTAAAAGGCTGGTCTAATTGTGAATGCCGAGTCTGTCGACCAATATTTCCTCCTCATCCACGAAGACGTGGCATTGTTTGATGTACGTAACTTATATGTGAGTATAATACACTCAATATTTACGTAATTACGATATATATAATATCATAACACAGTGTAAAAAAAAATCAAATGCATTGAATGAATACACTAAATTCAAGGCAACCAATAATTATTATTATAATAGCTTTAAAACTCATGCAGCGACCATTTATAAACAAAAATTCCCACCGTAAATCTCTAAATACCCGTCTGAGCACATCCCCTGGTTGGACCTAGGGAGGTGATTTGTGAATCTAAATTATCCGGGGTGTCACGCAAATGCATTCAAAAAAATTCATTCAAATCGGTCCAACCATATAGGAGTTCAGTCACAACACACGTACAGTAGAATTATTGCGCTTAGCAACACATTCAGAGATTCATTTCTATATTATAAGAAATTAACAAACATGCCCGATTAACCAATAGCAACCCATATAATATTATACACTGTAGCGCCACTGTTGTATTTTTTACATCCAGATTTCCAATTTTACGGTGGATTTTTCTAAAATTTTCTTTCTTACCAATTTTCTCCTGGCAATTATGAACATCTTAAAAAAAATTTGAGCCAAATCTGTCTTGCCGTTCTCGAGTTTTAGCGAAACTAACAAACAGTAATTTATTTTTATATATACAGGTTGTTTCTGAAATGGATGAGGTAATACTAGTATAGGCGTACTCAGTGTGATGGACCAATGAAGATTTTTTTGAATTTTTTTCTATCTTCAAAATCTGGGTTTATACAATTTATTATTAGAAAATTATCTTAAGTGTAAAAAATAAATAGTCAAGTTGTATTTTTTGCAAAATTCTCATACGAATCGAGGTGTCACATCATTTTTGAGCTTTTAATTAACACATTATTGTAATTTGTCAACTAATAAAAATGATAAAATTATAACAAAATTAGGGTTCACAAAGTTTTAAATGTTCGAATTTACTGACATACATTGATTTGTGTGATTTAGATGTACAGGTAATAAAATATGGTAACTTTTATCCGTACTGTCTAATATGAAATACCTAATTGACCGTAATTTTTACATAAAGAACATTAATTGATTTGATTATAGCTGAGTTCAATACTGGTGTTTCAATATCCATTGAACAACACTTTAAATTTATTTTTAAGATTTAAGTCTTTAATTTACATTTTGAACAATGGAGTACACTAACATTGAATATTCAGAAAGAACATATTTATGCCAAAGAATTACCTAAATAAAAGAGATGAACTTTTGTTGAGAATTAATAATGTAGCTGATATCATTCGTCAAACACCAAATTTGTTGGAAAAAAATTAGAATACATTACATCGTCGGATCGAAAGTGCATCGAAGCTAACGGGAGTCACATACTCACATTGAACAATTGTAGATAAAAATAGGTTTTCAAAATAAAGTGTACTTAGTTATGATTATTTTACAATGCAACACAACTTAAATGTATGCCAGTAAATTTGATAATTTAAAATTTTGTTAATCCTAATTTTGTTATTATATTATCATTTTTATTGGCTGACAATGTTAAATAATACATTAATTAATTGTGTATGTTAAATGACAATAAATAAATATCACTACTGTTTATCTTGTAGTGTTCTCATAAAAATCGATGTGCCACACCATTTATTTTTTAGTCGGCGATTCGAGCTTGAAAAACGAGCGACAAACGCAAAAATTATGTGACACCTCGATTCATATGAGAATTTTGCAAAAAAATCTAACTTGACCATTTATTTTTACATTTAAATTAATGTTCTAAAAATAATTTGTATACGCACAGATTTTGAAGATGGAAACAACAATTTAAAAAAATCTTCATTGGGGCATCACATTGAGTACGCATATACAGTTACCTCATCCATTTCAGAAACACCCTGTATATAGATATATAGATGTATATATATATAGATATACATATATAATATATATAGATATACATATATAATATATATAGATATACATATATAATATATATAGATATACATATATAATATATATAGATATACATATATAATAGATATAGATACACTCGCACATCGTAAATTGTAATTAATCAAAATGAGAAAAGTTCTCGCGTATTTAGCAGTAACCTTAGCTAGATCGTCATATATTAAATAACAACTTTCATATTATCAATCTACTATATATATAAAAATGTAAAAAATAATAAACCTCTGATATTTATTCACCTTTTAAACCTTATCCACAAATAATTCAAGACCAAAATTAGCCAAATCAGTTAGGTTAAAAAACAAAAATAAAACAATAATTATAATACAAATCAACAAACATACCCCATTAACCGATAGTAACCAATATAAATTATAATACATTGTTGAGACTAACGAACAGTAATTCATTTTTATATATGTAGAAGAAGATAATAAAGTATAATTATAAATTTAATGAATACACGGCAACCAATAATTATTATTATAATAGCTTTAAAACCCATGGCGACCATTTATAAACAAAAATTTCCACCTTAAATATCTACATCCCCGTTTGAGCACATCCCTTGGTTCGACATTTTAGACCTTTTAGATCTTCTCCTGACAATTTAGAACATTTAAAAAATTTTTAGCTAAATCAGTACGGCCGTTCTCGAGCTTTAGCGAGACTAACGAACAGCAATTCATTTATATATATATAGAAGAAGATATAAGCTCTCCAGACGATGCATTATAATATTTAGGTATTAGTGGCCCATGTAAATTTTGTCCAAATTATATTTATAAATTCACCCAAACGATACGAAATTGTGGTCATTCGCCCAAATGAAAGCCACCATTAGAGTTGACCCAGGAGAGTTTACCGTCGGAATAATGTTATCGGGATATAATTGGAAGAGTTTACAATCATTTGCTTTGTTTTTTCCTTTATTGTTTTCCAAAAATCACAGTGAAATTTTAAATGTGGCCTCTTCAATCCTTTGAAACACGATTTCTGTTCAAATTCCAGTATACAGAACTTAGTTGTGACTTGTGAGCGCTAGTTGTCTATGTTTTATATAAAAATATAAAAATATATTTCCATGTACGTACCTCCGTGCATTACGGCCATGTGTTCTGGATAAGCGCTTTCGTTCCGTTCGAATAATCTATGCAGTTGGATGTCATTGTTTATCGGGACAGACGGTCCTTGGAGGGTCGAAGACGTTGCCGGGTAAACGCCCATGTCTGCTTGTGCTGAAATAACCGGTAAGACGATCTGTTATAATAGTTTGTTTAATACACGAAATATGATAATCAACCATACACGGCGCACCTATATGTTTTATTGATCAATGAGGTGCTTGTAGCAAGTAAGTCAAATTGGAAGTTAATATATTAAGTTAAGGATATATTGTACATTTCCTTTAAGACGTAACGGCGAGTACATTAGACGTGTGTTTATCCACTAAGAACTGTCGGAATTTAAGTCCCGAGTTCAAAACGAACGAGTAGGTATATTTGACCGACCGACCACGCGGCTTGTATTAGAAGAAGAGGGGTCGTTTACATGGTCAGAGGATTATTCAACTAACATACAGTGTTTTTGTGTTTGAATGCGTTTTTGTGTCATGGCTTTTTATCTCGCACAGATATATTTTTATTATTTTACATTCACTGAGTAGCTACTGACATTATGCATTATATTGTTATTAGTTACTGACAATAATTAGTCTTCATTTCAGCCTCTAAAAATATTATAATGCACTCTAAAAATGTACAGTTAATATGATAACATGACGTGTTTATTGTGTTTCGTAATAAATAATTACGTGAACATCGCAGATAATAATATATCGACGGGAGAATATTACTGCGTGCAATCGTATGATATTGTATATTGTTACATCCCGGCAGGAGATTTAAAGCAAAAAAAGTTGTTGGCGCAAAGATAACATTTTTGTATTATACGCGCGTAAATCACATTGCAGACAAGCGTCTTGGGTGCTATACTGCTATTCAAGTTCCTCATACACAGGTACTATATTAATGATCGTCTTCAAACATACAATAATAGAATCTTACACAAAGCGATGTGGTTCGTCATTCGAAAATCCTATATCGCGATTGTTTAATTCAAAAGATCGTTAACGTGACTGCGCAAAAATTTGAGGCGACGGAGATTCAATAATGGCAAACGTCCTTCGCCAAAAATTCAACTCGAAGCGCGAGTGCAGAGTATTATTAAATAAATATAATATTATTATTACAATGGATATACAAGCCGATTCTTGTGCGTCTTGGCCGGCGTGATATCAATTTTAAGAATAATATGACATATAGTCATTAATCATAATAATATTTGTATCCGTATACAACGTGTTTGAGTGAATCATCGGTGCACGCACTACACTTCCGTAGGACTTGTACGTATATTATATTATTGTCTACGGCAGAACGCACTAATAATTCACTCGGAGTAGGCGTTATTGTACCGTGATGGGTGTGATACTGTGATGCATAGTATGTGACTTCCGTGGGGACGAAAAGTATATACAACGATTAAGATTGCACGTACATAATTCATATACGAAACGTGCAGCGGTGAACCCAAGGCTGTATTTAGAATTTTAGCTTCTCAGTGGGCACACGAATAATGGCATCCTTAAGTACGTAATTACAAGAGATCCTTCGAAATTTCTCAAGACAAATTTTAATATTTTACTCTTGTAATAAATTAATTAATCAGAGCCATTTAATAATCAAAAATCTTTTTTGAAAATAAATATTTCACCTCCCCCGAAACATGCCACCGATGAGCCTGCGCAGCCCGTTCATATATGGCTTCTTAATTACGTCATTAAAATAATATCAAGAACTTATCGTTACTGTCTTATAGCAATTTAGGGACCGATTTTCGCATCGTTTGCCTCGGGTGAAAGCCTTTTTTTCCGCTGGAACGTCCTTACGTCTCTAATAGAAACTCTATACTAGTGTGCGGTCGTGCGCGTGGCACACATTCAAAAATCGCCGAGCCGCGTAGCAGTTATTATGAAATAGGTAAATGACCTTGAACTGTGGAAACCGTCTCACGTTTTGCCACACCACTAATACACACATACATGCATATTTATATATAATGTGTATGGTATTTCACATAATATTATTCTCTTCGATTCCGAAAAAATCAACAAAAGTAAAAAATACATAAATACATAATTTATATTAATATGGTATGTGCCGGATGATGCGTATTCATTCGTATAACATCGAGAACGGTCCACCAAACGAGCACAAGGTAATTTGATCTTAGGTAGCTCAAACCTAAGGGGTGGGTGTGAACTCGTTGTCCAACGGTGTAAGGCAATTATAATACGTATATATGTATGTACGTATATTACTTAATAATATAATATGATGTGTATATAATTGTAAACCGTCCTGCAAATAATTACCCTCTTTACTACATCCGAATGAAATAGTGTAAATTATGTGATAAAATCATGTGATGTGTCACATAAAAACTGAATCTCTGATTCCCATCAAGTGAAATAGCTATATAATATTATGTAAACTTTAATACCTCTAAATTGCCTTAACTGTGATTAATCGAACGTAATGGTACCTAAAGCTATGTGTATTCAGTATTGACATTTAGGTATTTAAATAAAAAACAATTCTAAAAATTAAACTACTATTTCAGGTACCTACAGGTACATCACGATACGTACAAATATTACACTGTCGGCATCATTGCATCAATGATAATAATAAGTCCTGGAGAAAAAAGAAATTCAAAGTATGCAAAACCCACCGCCCCTTTTGAACTAGGTAGGTATATTATCTTGAGTTTATCGCGGTCTAAATGGGCTATATAATCAATAATATTACCAAAGTTATTATTTGTTAATCTCCTAAAAACAATATTTTAATTTTGAGTATTAATAATTTTACTTTTCGTTAACTCAAAAATGTACTCGGTCGTTTTGTCAGACAGTTACAAACGATGAGTCTGGGCTTTTTCCAAACCCGACTGTTCTCAGACTTTTTTCACAAAGCTTTTCTTCCGAGATTCATTCCAAACTCGAGTCTATCATAGAAAAAGTTCACTCACACCCAAATACACATTTAATACCTATGCATAATACATATTATTATATGTTTACATTTGCAACTAAAAATACTATGTGAGTTATCATTTAATAAATCGATATCCAGATATTATCACTAACGCGATAATAAGAAAATCGCCGTAAAAAAAATAATACAATTAATATAATAAATAAATAATAATATCTTAAATTACGTACGGCGTGTGTATGTCGACGGCATCTGCGTGAGCGCGCGCCTTGTGGTCGTGCTCGTGCAATGTAATTACGGATCAAATTACTATAATATTATTATATAGTAAAATAGTAGTATACTATAGTATAATATAAACACATATCATATCATAATATATTATTATGTACTTATTGTAGCCTATAAGGTACTTACGACTCGTGTCGTCGTCGTCGCCCAACTTTTTCCGTCACCGTCACCATCGTTATAAATATGCGATTTGGAAATTTGCGCGAAACAATAAAATAATAATAATAATTTGATCACAACCGTCATCTCAATGCCAACCACGTACCTATAATATAATAAAGTCGTTGTAGTCGTACGACTCGGCAGCACGTTGACACCGCGCACCGTCCCATTAGAAATAATATAACTGCTAAGGCCGCCTGGAGTGTCGCGTCGCGTGTGTGACCCAGTATAGTAGTTTAGCTAGGTGCCTGCCTAGCTGCAGGTATATTATAGAGGTAAACATTATTAAAACACTCCTAATTACGTAAACCGTACGAATGTATTATGAGCGCCCGTAATGACTAATGGCGCAGACTCCCTGGAGATCTGTGCAAGTTCGAGTCGCGTATTATATTAAAATCACGTCAGCGCACCATTTGTTTTCTCTCTCTAACGACCCACGCCCGACATGGGCAATTTTTATGTTCGGCAGAACACCGACCTTGTGTAGTTGTTGGAGTTAATTGAACTATTATAAGACTTAAAGTCAAGAACGTTATCGATTTGAGTTTTTAAGTTGGATTTAATACGACAATATTCAATTTTAAAGGGAGATATGAGTATTTTTAAATTGTAACACTATTCATATACATACGCATAGAAATTGAAATATACATTAAATATTAATACATTGAGTTATGTACTCTTAATTCGTGTGTGATGACAACTATACGCGGTGCTTGCGCGTATCGAATGCACGCGTGTAATCATAATTATGATACCTACTTACACCGGCTTGCAGTAATGACGGTGAAAGCAATATTGTTATTGTGTAGTACGCGATGTCACCGCATTATGAAAGACGAATTAAAACGCGATTTAAGATCATTAATCGTCGGGGCCTATAATACTATCATCGTTAGTCTCTATAATATTCTGTTAATGATGTGCCGAGCGCGTATTAAAATATAATAATAAATATTATATGACAATATTATTGATAACCGTTTAGGATTTTATGACGAATGTTATTTTGTACGTCACAAACACAATAGTATATAACCTACAGCATATAAAATATTATGCTTTAAATACGCTCACACATATCAAAGTATGATATAATTAATTATTATATTGGCCCGCCGGCGGAAGACGAAAACGGTCAATCTCGCGCGCGATAGATAGATAGATAGCCTTCGGCGGGCCCAGCCACCGCATAAATCACCGGTCTTACAACAATATACCGATATTGATTTTAATTAAATAACGAAGACCGCTGTGGTGGAGGTAGGTACTTTCCAAGTCCTTGTATCACGCGGAGTAGTGGACTCGTCAAACCACAAAAAAAAAAAATTTATCGCTTGCCGAGTAGGTACGTGCGTGTGGATCATCGCATCCGTTCGTACACGCTCCGACTGCATGAAGCCATACGAACTTAAAATATAATGTAAATCGAAAAACGTGGCGCTTATAATACGCGCGGCTGTGAAACTGGCCTAATTATATATGACGTATTATCGAAGACGACGCTATACCGAGAACAAAAGTTGTTTGAACGTTAATTAGCTCATTGTCATTAATTATACAACGATTTTTTTCTGTTGGAGTCGAATACAAAAATTAATAATATATTTTAGAATCGATAGTTTATAGTTATGACGTATTACAGTATCTATATATCGATATTATGTAAATATTATAATTATATCGAGCAAATTAACTGTTTTACGTCTT